CTCACATATTCCTTACCGAGACTCCAAGTTGACCCGTATCTTGCAAGAGTCTCTCGGTGGTAACAGTCGGACAACCCTTATCATCAACTGTTCGCCCAGTAGTTACAACGATGCCGAAACATTGGGTACACTAAGATTCGGTATGCGAGCCAAGTCGATCAAGAACAAGGCCAAGGTCAACGCCGAGCTGAGTCCTGCCGAACTCAAATCCCTCCTCAAGAAAGCGCAAGGACAGGTCACGAACTTCGAGAGCTATATCTCCTCCCTCGAGGGTGAGATCCAGATGTGGCGTGCTGGTGAAGCCGTCCCCAAGGAGAGATGGGCCACACCTCTGACTACCGATGCCGTTGCTAGAACCAAGGCTGATGCCAGGACATCGACACGGCCATCTACTCCGTCATTAATATCAGACAGCCGATCAGAAACACCTGCGATATCCGAACGAGCTGGCACTCCCAGCCTACCACTTGACAAGGACGAGAGGGAGGAGTTCCTACGACGAGAGAACGAACTGCAGGACCAGATCTCGGAGAAGGAGTCTCAAGCTGCGTCGGCTGAGAAGCAGCTGCGAGAGACCAAGGAGGAGCTGGCCTACCTCAAGGATCACGACAGCAAAGTCGGCAAGGAGAACGAGAAGCTCACAACCGAGGTTAACGAATTCAAGATGCAACTGGAGAGGCTCACATTCGAGAGCAAGGAAGCTCAGATCACAATGGACGCCTTGAAGGAGGCCAACTCGGAACTCACCACCGAACTCGACGAGGTGAAGCAGCAGCTTCTTGATGTCAAGATGAGCGCCAAGGAGAGTGGTGCCGCTCTCGACGAGAAGGAGAAGAGGAAGGCCGAGAAGATGGCCAAGATGATGGCTGGCTTCGATTTGGGTGGCGATGTATTTAGCGAGAATGAGCGACATATCGCTGAGACGATCGAGAAGGTCGACTCGCTTCATGATCTCAGCGCAACCGGCGACAACATCGCACCCGATGAGTTTAAGGCACTCAAGGCTCGATTGGTGGAGACCCAGGGCATCGTTCGTCAAGCAGAACTTTCCATGTATAGCACTTCCTCAAGCGAGTCCGACTCAAGGAGGAGGCAAGAGCTTGAAGCCCGTCTTGAAGCTGTCCAGGCCGAGTACGAGGAGATTCTTACCCGTAACTTGGGCCCTGAAGATATCGAGGAGGTCAAGGCCCGACTTGAGAACGCTTTTGCGAACCGCCAGACTGCTCAGTCGCAGTTTGTTGAAGAGTTGAAGGAGGATATTGCCCAGAAGGCTGCTGAGAACACAAGAATGAAGACCCTTATTGAGGATCTTCAACAGCGTGTCAAGGCGGGCGCCACTGCGCCAATGGCTAACGGCAAGACGATCCAGCAACAGATCGCCGAGTTTGACGTTATGAAGAAGAGTCTCATGCGTGACCTTCAAAACCGATGCGAGCGAGTTGTCGAGCTCGAGATTTCCCTTGATGAGACTCGAGAGCAATATAACAACGTTCTCCGATCGTCCAACAACAGGGCGCAACAGAAGAAGATGGCTTTCCTCGAGAGAAACCTGGAGCAACTCACCCAGGTCCAGCGCCAGTTGGTCGAGCAGAACTCTGCTCTCAAGAAGGAGGTTGCTATTGCTGAGCGCAAGCTGATTGCACGAAACGAGCGTATCCAGAGCCTGGAGAGCCTGCTACAGGATAGTCAGGAGAAGATGGCCGCTGCGAACCACAAGTATGTACCCCTGAATGGAGCACCCCTTTTCTGATGAACCCCACTAACAAACCACCCAGGTTCGAGGTTCAGCTTGCCGCTGTCAAAGAGCGACTCGAGCTGGCCAAGGCCGGCAGCACTCGCGGTCTTAACTCGCCTGGTGGCTTTAGCTTTGCCAACGCCGGCAGCAGGATCGCCAAGCCTCTTCGAGGAGGCGGCGGCGGCAACGACGCCCCCAGCATTCCCACGATCCAGAACCTTCAGGGCCAGAACGAAGGCAACACCAGCAGCGGTAGCAGCAGCAAGCGTGCCAGTTGGTTCTTCACAAAGTCATAGACAACATAATGAGGGAATAAAGATAAATAAAAGAAGAAAAGAGCTCGCTGCTTTTTTTGCTTACCTTATGGGCACGGCGTTGCGAGCAAGATCTGTTAGACACAAACATTCCTCCTTTTCATACCCCCCCTTTTTCCATTCAACGATGCCCCCGTTCGACAAAGCTTTCTAAAAGGTTTCTCTTCTTCTCTTCTGCTGCTTTCTACTTTGTCCCCCGATTTCTGTTTTTGTCTCTTTTTTTCCAGCTTCTACTATAAGAAGGCGATAGAGGATGGGGCGGCTACGATGATTTGGATTTACGACAGGCATCGCGATGGGACCATGGTAGGACGGATGGATTGTTATATGGCTGGCGCTCTGGGCGTGAGAGATGGGATGAGATGAGCTGCGATGAGTCGAAGGAGAGATCGAGAGAGGAGATAGGAGATGAGACAAATATTAGCAGCAGTAGCAGCAGTGGAGGAAGCTTGCTTGAGTCTTGTCACGACCACATAGCTCAAGGCACGAAGTATAAGAGAGTCAATGAATTGATTGAATTTCTAACAAACATTTTATTTTTATTTCTTGCTTATATCAAAGAGCTATAACAGAGTGGTATTCTTGACGGAAGGCTTTACAATCTAAACCGTTTACATGCCTTTGTAGACAAGGACAACAGGCAATTAAACCAAAGTGGATATCATCAAGTGACAAGTCGTACGTAGAAAGCGCTGATCATTCGTTTACATCTTGATGTCCTGGTTGCCATCACCATTGTCAGTTCCCATGGAAGCCAAGAGGATGACCTGAGGAATGATAACAGCGAAGATGACACAGAGGGCAGCGAAGGTGACAGCGACGATCTTGACGCTGAGCATGACGATACGGCGCCAGGCAGACTTGGAGAAGCTGGACCAGGCATCGCGAACAGTAGCGTAGCCGAGGCCACCGACAACAACGGGCTCGATGCGGCCGTTAAAAGAGCGGTCGAAAGGAATGATGGTGTCGGCATCGGCGGGGAGAAGAGAGGCCTGGACTCGAACGAGCACAACGTAGGCGGGAATCTGGATAGCGACCTGGAGGAGGACAGCGACGAGCAGGATACCGAAAACACTGCCGAGACCCTGGAGCTGAGGAATCTCATTGGTCTGGTCGCCGCCAAACAGGTAGAGAACACCGAAGGTGCCGAGGTTGACGATCTGAGAGGCAGCCCAGAAGATGAGAGTAGGTCTCCAGGTGGCGGCGAAAGTGGTCTTGAAAGGAGGGAGACGGCTCCAGAACTTGAGAGGAGAAGGAGGCGTGATGACGATGTGGACCCAGGCGGCGCTGAGCTGAACGCAGACGAGAGAACCGATCAAGTTGGACAGAACAAAGGAATAAGGAATGACGGTATAGGTGATGCCGTTGATGAGTGCCGTGACGACAGCTTGGGCGAGGAAGCAGGGCAGACCACGGAAGATGGCGCGGAAACCACCAGTAGATCGGAGCAGGCGCCAGGTAGCTCGGAAAGACGAAGTGACGGGACGGCCCTGGCCAGCGATAGGGACAGAGGAAGTGGAAGCGGGCTTGGGCATGTCATCGTTGGCGAGAGGCTCGACGGGGAGAGGTTCGTAAGCGGGAGGTTTCTCATCTTCGACGATGGCGAGAACGGGGAAGACCTTTTCGAAGGTGTAGTTGATCTGAGATGTGTTAGCATATAGACGTGAGTGTCAGTAAAGGTAGTACTCACGAGAACAAAGACGGGGAGGAAGAGGATGAAGTTGGCGAGGAACACGAATCTCGACCAGTCGGGGAGTTGCTGAAGCTCATAGCCAAGATCAGGCTTTGGCATGTTATCGCGCCGCATAAGCAGCGATCCAGCGGAAGACAACATATTGAAGGTTTACGATATAAGGAAAAGCAGTTTGTTTTGATGAAAGGAAGAATAGAAAAAGAAGATGGTGATGAGTATCCTCGTGAGGTGAGGTGTGATGTTGGATGGAGGAGGGTAGTTTAATGGGCTGTCGAAAAGTGGCTCTGACGGGGGCTTTATCAGTTATGTCCGGGCAGATCGCGCAGTGAAACTAGGCACCAGGACCCCCGATTTAGTGGATGTGGATGGGCGATGACGGGACAGGGCGTTTACGGTTACAGGGGGTCAACGGGGGGAGGGGGGGCGAATTGCACAGCCTCAATGCGAATTGATTGATCTACGTATACTCTGGTCGAACAGCTAATGATGGAAGAATAAAGACATTGGGTATTTTAGTAGTTAAATCTCTTAATGTATGGAAGATTCATAGCTATAATAAATGACTGATTTAGCATGATTCGGTTCATGTTCTCACCGTGAAATCGGTAATTACCGTATTCGGATTGAAGGATCAGACTGAGGTGTGTAGGACTTTGATGATACCCTTCGTATATACACGTAATCAGCCTCAAACTCATCCCAAACGCAAGCTTTTGATTGGCGCTTCCTTGTCTTTTCAGTCTTCACAAAATATGCAACTCGCTTTTGTGTTGCTTTTGTGAATTTACATTTCTATTCATGCCCCGAGAGTTCCGATGTCTACAAGGCAGATTTAGAGGATTGGGCTTCTCTTCTTGGCGCTGTGATGAGACTGTGCAATACTTAGGCTGGTGGTTGAGTTTACCTGAAACTGTTTGTGTCGGCGCATGCTATGCTATGCTATGTTGTTGACTCGGCTATGTCGGCTCAATATATGTATGTATTCATTTATGCCGCATTTATCTACTTTCAAGTCTCTGATTGTTAGGTACTGTCTATCAAGTTCAGTCCCATTGTCAACATGTGAGTTAAATGAGGTGCATGCCCCGCAATCATGACTCTCCCGTTTCTTACAGGGGCTGGCTGTCCGACGTCACTGGCCACATCCACTGAAAGCCCCTCTATTCTATTCAACCTCATCAAGCTCTAGCTCCGTCAGCTCGGAACAACTAAAGCCGCTATATCCTCACTCTGAATACCCTCAGACTAAAGAAAAAGAATGCCCGCCCCCGAGATACCAAACCTTCTAAATTCTCTCCGCAGCGCACGAGGGGGCCGTGGTCGAGGTAGAGGGCGAGGAGGTCACGCCTCATCAGCTGTTACTCACGATGCTACCATCCAAGGCACTGATACTGATGCTTCAGTGTCGAGGCTGAGCGCTGTTGATCTGGGGTATCTTTATGATCCGTATGCCCAGTACTTTGTGCAGAGTGGCGATGGACCAGTGGCGAGACGACTCCCTATAATCAATCGAGGTGTGCTAGAAAGCATTGTGATGGCCCCCAATATACACTCACACCTTTTATAGGAACATATACTCGCACTATTTCCCTAGACACTCTTATCGAGTCGTTTCTAGACGGCGATCAAGACAGTGAACAGGGCGCAGGACCGAAACAGGTTATATCTTTGGGGGCTGGTACTGATACAAGACCTTTTCGACTGTTCTTTTCAGAGTCGCGTCCTGGTTTGGTCTATCATGAGCTTGACTTTGAGGTTGTCACCTCAAAGAAATTACGGACTGTACAAGCTACCCCCAAGTTGAGAAATATCTTGAAAGATGCTACTCAGTTGACAGAACATTCCTGGTCAGCTAAACCCACTGGGTGCGAATATTACTGCCACGCTCAAGACCTGAGAGGTTTTTCTCAAGCCAAAACACCAAAAGAGGAAGATGGCACAGAAACAACGACGAACGAAATCTCTCTCCCTGGCCTACGGACCGATATCCCTACGCTGCTTCTCTCAGAGTGCTGTCTCTGCTATCTCACCACCACCGAAGCCTCAGATGTGATCAACTTCTTCAGCTCACGGATACCAAACCTCGGCACAATCATCTACGAACCAATCCGGCCAGACGACGCCTTTGGCAAGATGATGGTGTCGAACCTAGCAGCGCGCCGCATCCAAATGCCCACTCTTCAGATGTACCAGACACCGGAAGACCAACGGGTGAGGATGAGCAAAGCTGGGTTTGAAAAGGTCTATCATATGACGATTGAGGATATCTGGCAGAATTGGGTGTCGGCGGATGAGAAGCGGCGTGTCGATTCGCTGGAGGGGTTGGATGAGGTTGAGGAGTGGAAGCTGTTGGCGGCGCATTACATCGTTGTTTGGGCTTCCAAGGGGGAGGGGTTTGAAAGCTGGAACAGTGTAAGAGGTTGTGCTTGATCTGACGATGTCAATGAATACTTGCAAGTTTTTATGATTGTGTAAGACCCATGTGAAATGGTTCGTGATCATGCCAGGTCATTCAAGCACAGCCAAAAACTTGTCAAGCGTATTCAACAATTCAGTTAATCCAGTAGCTATTGAAGCGTGAATATGTCTTGTCTGTATCAAGATCTGTGACTGAACGATCATGACTTACTTGTCTTAGGCGCAGGAACAACATATTTCCTATTTGAGCATAGCCCCATTTCTACTGACCTTCATCCCGACAAGTCACTTTCCATCCTCGGGCGAACCAACATCAACCTTTGAATCGCCATTTGAGAATACACATTCATATACAGCTTGTTCAACGACTTCGAAATTGATTCTCAAAGCATTAATCAAGTCGCATGCAATATCGATACAAGCAGGATCACCCCCTTAGATAATTGACCGTTGTTCTCAGAGCATCAGGGTATTGCGCCTCTCACCCTCCAAACACCCTCTCAGTACTACTCCGTACGCTTTAAGCCTTCATTGCTTCATAGAACTAACTCAAACATGCAGTTAAAAACATTAGTCTTGGGTAACCAAACTATTCAAGTCCTCTCAGGCGCACAACAACAACCCTTGACGTCTCATCTCACAGCGCGACAAGATGGCGGATTCAAGAGATAGCAAGTCGTACAAATATCGCCAGGAGATCAGTCAGATGATGTACGTCTCGGGCGAAACCGCAGAACCACCCGTCGAAACAACAAGTATCATCGAAGACATTGTCCGCCAACAGGTCATCGAACTCGTGCGTCTCTCATCCCCTTCACCCACTCACCTCACCTCACCTTACCTCACCTCACCTTACCTCACCTCATACTAAACCCTCTCAGCTCCGAAACTGCACCGAACTCGCTTCGCGTCGCGGTTCAAAATCCATCAGCATCAACGATCTCATCTTCCAAATCCGCCATGACCAAGCAAAAGTCTCTCGTCTGCGCACGTTCCTCTCGTGGAAAGACGTGCGAAAGAACGTAAAGGACTCCGATGACAAGGGCGCTGATGCCGATATTGCTGCTGGCGACGACCCCGTGGCTGCGGGTGATAACACAACAGATGATACAGCCAAGAAGAACAAAAAGGCAAAAGTCGGTTTGCCGTGGGAGCCTTCGTCGTACTACAACGTCGAAGTGCCCGAGCGCGAGGACGAAGAGGATGAAGAGGAGGAGGAGATGAACTACATCACACTGCAGCGTCTGCGCAAAGCAGATGAGCGCACCAAGGCCATGACGAAGGAGGAGTACGTTACATGGTCTGAATACCGTCAAGCATCATTCACCTACCGCAAAGGCAAGCGATTCCGCGAGTGGGCTGGCTTCGGCATCGTCACAGACAGCAAACCCTCCGACGACATCGTCGATATTCTCGGCTTCCTCACCTTCGAGATGGTCCAGACCCTCACCGAGATGGCGCTCAAGGTCAAGGAGCAGGAAGATCTAGTCCGTGCTCAGAACGGAGGCGACAATGTTGGAAATGCGAAGAAGCGGAAGCACGAGGGCGCCTTGTTCGATTTCCCTAGTGAGGGAAAGACGCCAATCGAGCCTCGCCATGTGCAAGAAGGGTCCCGAAGATTGCAACAGAGGCCAAAGAAGTCGAGGGCCATGCTCAACGGCACCAGAATTGCACAGCATACCCCTCTCAACATCTTCTAGTCATCTATCTATATGTGCAGCGTTCACCAGTTTATTGTACGCCAAGGCGTTGGATTAGGAACATCACCAATGTTTGGGTTGGTTAGTGGGAAAGGCGCACGGAATGGGTATTTGGATGTTCATTAAGGTATTACTTGATAGATTGGTGCCAACCACTCGTCGGCTATTTCTACACGTCTTTCGCGACTTCCATGCTGTATCTCCCAACCCTACGCTCGAGACACAGACATCTTGCGTCGTCGAGCAGCTGCAGCATCCTCACAGAGTCGCGTGCCGACTCTTTGTAAACTCATGGGTAATTCCTCCTCACCGTCACTACCAGCCTCCTTCTCATTACCCTCTCTCCTGTGATTCCGTCTTCTCGTATGGCTTGCACGGATCGTTTGCGTTCGCTGCAGTCCACTGGCTCTACTCTCGACCGTTGGGACCTCCTCTGCCGGAACGCCGGTCGTGCGGCTATCAGCAGTCGGCATGCGAGACAGAGGCATCCGCGTCAGGTGCTTGCGCTCCCGATAGTTACTAAGAGTAGGAGTCTTTAGTAGACCGCTGCGGAAGTCATTAACTCCAACCAGAATTTTAACAAGCTGCACAAGCTCTTCGAGATATTCGATGATCTCCATCTGTCCAGAAGTGCTCGCGTTCCAAGAGAGAAATCGTTTTTGGGTGATGAGGTATGCGACCTGCGCAGCAAGCTCCCCATTCTCGTCAAAGACACTCGATGGCTCCCCAGCCGGTGTCTGAGTGCCACTTTTGGACGCAAGAATCTCGCGCACATGGTTGACCAGGCGCAGTTGCGCCAGACGACTTGACGGGATGAACTGCGGCAGAGGCGTCCAGGTAATGAACGCCTCGTACACCGTGAAAAGTGTCAACATGATACTGGCAGCCACATTCCGTCGATAGGCGTGGACTTGAGGATTCAAGTCTTCCAAAATAGACGAACCATACTCTCTCCGCAGCATCACGACGTTTTCCATCCTATCGATAATTTGATGCAACACGTAGAAGATCTCTTTGTAGACAGGCACGAGTGGTTTGAAATCCCCCTTAAGGCGCGGTTCAGTAACGGAGAATGGAAGAAAAGTCTCGGCCGCAGCCAGAGCTCCTCGTGCTTTGTTTGTGGCACGACGGAAGCGCTTGTTGAGGTCGGGATTCCGGAAATTTGGCTTGATGGGCTCGTCCAGGCCAACAGCCATCGCGGCTTGCATATTTTGAACCTGTTTGACCGACGCTGCGACAGACTCAACTAGTCGATCTCTAGCTCTGACTGGGTATAGAATAAGTTCAATCAGCAGCGCAGTGGTTCCCCCGACGATAAAGGCACACAAGCGCTTATAGAAATAATGATAAGCGGGCTCGTTGCCGTTAATAGCAGCTAGTACTGTTAGTATATTGAGGATATCCGGAATGAAAGCAAGCAACTTACAGAGTGCAACCACGACCATTGTAACCGTAGAGATCATGCCGGCCTTGACATATCTAGTGCCAAGCTGGACATAGAACGACGGCATGATACCAATAATCAGAAAGAAAACCATGGCGATCAGACTTTTGCCCCCAACTAGGGCAGATGCAAAGCCAAAAGCACTGCCTGCTACGACACCGCAAAGACGAATGAAAAAGACGTGGAAGGACGTTCCTATGGCCACTTCAAAGACGAGAAACAGCTGCATCGGTGCCCATATGCCACGATAGGAACCGTACCATCCAGCCTGAGACTCCACAAAAGCCGGCCAGCTAAGTAAGAGGATGGCGATTGTGAGCTTGAACGCATATTTTATGTGTTCCGAGTCCTGGGTCCATTCCAAGGCATCGGCTGCCATCCCCCTAATCTTGAGGATCTTACTACGTTTCTGAAGCTGAGATTTCTCTTTCTCTTGTGGTTGTTCAGCGTTGCGATCCTCTCTGGTTTGAAGAACCGGCTCTGCAAATCGAATGCCTTTCTCCTCATCTTTTCCCTTAGGCGGCTTTGTTTTCGTATCCTTATTGCTTTGGTTTGTTTTATTTTTGGGTTTGTGTCCTGCTGTACTCTTTCCCCGACGAACTTCTTTGCGAGCTGCTTCTGGCAGAACAAAACCGTCACTCTCACCACCGGTAATCAACCACTGCCTGATATCGACATGTTTGGGGAACCAGATTGTGGCTCTATCGTTTCGAGCTTGCCTCTGTTCAACTGTCTGTCGAACATGGCGAAGCATCTCCAAAACATACTTAGCTGCCTGGCGCAAACTAAGTACGAACGAAGAGATCAAGAACGTTTCCATCCGGGGCATAAAGTCCGTGCTATATCCACTCTTATCCATACCTGAACGGCGAAGCTCCATGGAGCAGCTGGCATCGAAATTAGCGATTGCTTCCGCGAAAAGGTCGATTCTAAGGTCCAATTCTTGGAGATGGATTCCTCTTGGGGTTGGTGCTCCTGAAGGCAGTCTTCGTACATCGTAGCAATAAGCGACACATATGATGACCAGGCGTACAGCCTCCTTCAGCGAACCCTCAAACACCTGAACAGGCTCTCGGATACGCTCAATGATGGACTCAAGAAGACTTGCGCTACTAGCTTCGATCTCCCTTAGAGGTTTGCTTTCTTCGACCCTCTGAAGGTAGTCATCAAAGGTGCTCATGCGTTTGATTCCACTGGGCCCGGACATATCGCTGTCGCTTTCGTCATCGGTGCCATCATTATTCTGCAATACGATGAATTTGTTCTCACATGCAGCGATGATGTTGACTGTGTTTTGGACGAGGCTGCTCATATAGGAGGTTGTCAGAGGCTTCATGCTGCTTAGAGGAAGGGCTGACACAGAGATCTCGTAGTTAACTTCCTTCTGAGCAGCTTTGCAATGGGTGTGACGTGCACGAAGACTCCCCTTGTTGCCTATCAGACTCTTGATCGTCGTAAGGCCAACTGGAGTCGTGGACATATGATATCGATGTTGAGATTGTTTGAAGGGATTCGGAAACTGACTCAACCACTTGCGAAAACGACCCTTCTTGCGCTTTGGTTTCTCGGGGACACTCTTCACTGTGTTTGTCATTGTAAGGGCAGTGATAGTGGAATCTTCTTCGGAATCAGCACCGGGTGTGATGAACCAATGCGTAGCCCGTGTCACGGTATCCATCGTTTCGATAAGAGCATCAATGGCAGACACACCGAGGTAACTGCTCGACAGCTCGGGAAAGATGGATAGGTTGACCACGATTGAGATACCACCACCAACCATCATAGGGTAGTAGGTGTGTGTAATAACCTCTGAAGACACCGATGTGTAGCCCCCGAGCAGGGTAATGATATTGGCAATAAGAAAAAAGGTGACAAATAAGAACATGCGGGGACTAGCCGATCTTACGTAGCCATGAAAGAAGGCAGCCATGGTGAAGAATACTGCGCAGATAGCATTATGGGCTGTTTCGTTTGTTATTTGAGCAGTAGCCAACATAGACAGCCTGAGTGCAACTATGGACCACGCCAGTCCGAATAAGGTGCCCAGCAGCATCATGAGAAGGGTCTCGATCATGGTGCCCAACCTTTGACCTGGATGAGCAAAGACAGTAGCCATTGGTGCAAGAAAGGTCGAAGGACCCAGGACTTCCGCAGCTTGAGGAGTCATGACGGCGACGACCGAACCGATACTAGCTATGGAGCACTTGATTATCTGTTTCCATAGATCGTTGGTCTCGGTGTCAACCCAGAGAACTATGGCCAGCTCTCGAAGCCGTTTCGTCACAGTCTTCATGATGGGCGATTTAGCCATGACTGCGGTAAAGATATAAGCTGGTACTTTGGTGAATTTGTTGGAGCTTGATGAGAATCGTCAGTCATCCTCTCGTCTTGCGGATGGACGCTTCGAGATTCGCGTGAGCGCCAGATAAGAGAAGAAACAGACGAGCACGGCCAGCCATGCAGAAGGAAAAGATGATACAGAAGTTCAAATCGTCAATGCTCGATGATGTCTAATCATGCAATTCATGCCCAGCAGTAGGGGTCAGGATTCCTTAATATCGTATCGCGTCTTGGGCTCCAAGGCTTGGCTACTCGTGGGTCATGAATGATTCGTGTCTGCAGGGGGGGAACTATGTCATTGCTTCTATAAGTGTATTATATTAAGATGATAAGAGTTTTCCAAGATGAGAGAGAGGGCGATCGTATAATCATGAGTCGTGGGAATAAGCAATTGATGAGAAGTCATGGAAGCACAGTGAAACAAAACGATGATTGACGAAAACTTGGAAAGTGCCGGAGATGGAACATCGGCACACGACGCTAAGGCAGGTTGCCCACGCGATGTGCCGAGACCTCGACTCCCATCTTCCAGGGCAGTCAATGGCATTGTATTCAGTACAACTGGCTTCTATAAGAAGTGTTCAGTTGTAAATTCAGAGCCAACCCATAGAACTTCTCTGTAAAATAGAAAACGACCAATTTGAAGCCATATCAACGGTTTTGCGGGGGAGTAAGACTAAATGGCCCATCTGCACCTCAGCCAAGCCAAGCCTGGTTGCACAACAGAAACAGGGGGTCAACGTGTGCTAGAAACTGGGCTAGGCCGGGGCATCCCCAGGGTCTCTTAGTGGCAGCCTTGCAGCTCTTCAGTGGCTTTATCCCTACTACACTCAGCCAATCAGCATCAACCCTTGTGTTCCGCGACAGCCTCCTAACAACGTCGGCTTATCCATGCCACCATCTCTACTCCAGCTCTCCTTTCTCAACCGCCTCCCTCTCGTCTTGAGCTTCAGCCTTGCCCAAAATCAAGATGCTCTCCTTTATCCTCATCCAGAACCGACAGTACGTTCTTCCCAATCTGCGCAACCTCTCCGATAAAAAGGTACTGACTGCTTCTCAGGGGCAAGACTCGTCTCGCGAAATGGTACGCCCCTTTTAGCGACGAGCAAAAGATCAAGCTCAAGGGCGAAGTCCATCGCCTCGTCGCACCCCGCGATCAAAAATACCAGTCCAACTTCGTCGAGTTCCGAAACAACAAGATTGTTTACCGCCGCTA